GTAAGCCTTTCAGATGTTTTGTAGATCTCCTTAGGTAGAGAATCAACCGATCTCAAGAGAACAGAATCACAGAAGGAATCGCGTAAATACATCCATTCCCTGAGCGAGATTCAAACCCACAATCCCAGTATTCCATTGATCAATGACAGAGCATTGGACCGCGTGGCCACTGTAAGAGCATTCTCTGATCCTGTTAGCCCGAAACTTCTTCACCATCACAAAATATACCAATGAACCACACTCACAGAAATTAAAGGAATATGCACGATAAAGATACGAAAGGTAAAACTATCCTTGTAACGGGACGTGGATGCCCATAAGTTTGTGAGACGTCGAGGTTCGCACATTTTCTAGACAATCGGCTCACAGATGGAGGCGAGGTTGTCAGCCTTACGCGCCGGCCGCTCTTTACCCCCAGGAAGAATCCTGGTACTCATTTCTGTTAGAGGCTGAGTCGACCCCAGGGCTGGAAGGATCAGATAATTTGAAAAGAAAATCCACTTCATCGGGAATCGAATTGTAGCATAGTGCCTCAACCAACTATGCTACGGCGTGCCACAAAATTATTCATGATTCATGTTAATATTATGTGTGCATCCGTGTCAAGATTCAAGCCGCCTCTTTTCAGAGTTTTGAGGTAAAATATTTATGCAGATGGAGAAATAGTGTCCATGAACGAAATGATGTCTCATTCAAATCATTTATCCTGCTGAGTCCCATCATGTTACGTGAATCAAAACGTTGTTACTACTAGAGACAGTAAATAATCAATGAGCTTGGCTGTAGGCAGGACTCTGACGTATTTCTGATGTCCGCCTCGCATGACTGACCGCACAGTGAATGGGGAACCATATATTTTTGTGGTCTCTCTAACGACGCTGTCTAAATATACACATCTTGAGTCAGGATGGCGTCCATATCAAATGCTCCTTTCTCATTTAACGATGATGACAAACGATCCCTTTGAAAGCAGTAGTCGATCCTAATAAAATTCTATATGAAGGTCATTCCACTGAGGGTCGCCACGGTGCTGTATTTAAGTTCCGAATTGCAGCGATGCCAGTATTACGTACTTGCTTTTTTGGATTTTTTAAATAACCACTAATGCTATTTAGTTTTATTAATTGAAGGCCTTCTCAACTCCATAATTGTAACTCTCAATCTAGCTATCTATGGCTCTGCAGCCCTTGTGGACCTTGGCCGTTTCTTTTTCAGTTTCTAAATCCATACACAGTCGTTAGGGCTCCTTGGACGGGAGATCAGACCGTCGAAAGGTCGCTACCTACACACAGAGCAACACAAACACAATAAACGCATAGTCATCCAATACTCGAACAAGATTCGAAACCACGATCGCAGGGTTCGAGTGGAAGAAGACGGTTCATGCCTCAGACCAGGTGATCGGCGTTTATTTTTTATGGGGTACAGATGTCCCGCAGTATGTAATGTAATGACCTAATTATCAGCCGGGCTCCCAGCAGCACCGGAAGCTCTATGATTAGCAGTGAACTTGTCCCCGAGGGCGTCCGTGTGTAGCAGCGTTTTTGTTGCACTACCGGAAGGGAATGGAAAGGGGTCTCAGTTATCAGAATCACACGCAATTTCTTACTCGGGTATTTACACTCTGTGGAATTGGTAACTATGCATAACACAAGTAGAGATAATGTCCGCAATAAAAGATAAACGTGTAAGCGCAGGTGTCCGTCAATATTCTCAAGCGTTGTCGTGGGAAGAAATTCGCATCAGAACAGTATCATGACATAATGACAGGGGACATGTTGCAAAAATTTGTAATTTGGGCTGAGGGCGAGCTGTGTGTCTACAACATTCTTATGTTGAAACCTCGTAGAGATGAGCTTACTGTCCACACGTTCGGCAACATTCACTTCCGACCAGTCGCGCGATGGACGAAGAATCATATACGCCGGCCAGGTGCCTGATATTTGGAACCCGGGACAAAACACTGGACCTAACGACGTTGCAACATCTGCAACGGTTATTTAGCTTAAAGTGATATGAAATGATAAATGCTTTCGGAGAGTTTATAAGGGCTGCTTAGTAAATATGGAAATAGCCTAGCATTTACATGAAGGGACTAGGAAACAAATTGGAAAGCGCCACTCTGAATAATCGATGTAGCATTTAAGGTTCTCACAGCGATGGTTGTAAGGAGTTCTCTCATATGAGATAGAATGCCGTGTAGTCAGTTCAAAGAAATGTTTTTCTTGCTGCCTGCTTCATGCTTAGCATTAAACACTGCAGATGCAGACGATATTACCCTTCGAAATGTCGGTTGGCTTTCAACACACTACGCGGCGTTATATCCAGAAGGTAGATCTCTTCAGGATAATATATGTCCGTCAAGATTTGAACTGAGCATTTACCATGTGTAAGACAGAATAGCTGCAGCTGGAGCCAGTTTGTTCTTTCAGAATCTGGAGTTCTGTTCTTGGAACAGACAAAAACGGATGTAGGCCTTACAGTCTGGCCGCGACACGACACCCCCATCTCACTGGGAAGTACAGGCTTTCCTCCTCTGGTTACTGATTCATGCCACTGTCTTGTCAACACAGCTTATCGAGCGAGGTGAGACGGTGAATATGAATTGTGTGTAGGTACGAATTTGGAGAGAGACGTTCGTCTTCGGTTTGAATAAAATAAATAGCTGTTTTTGTTAGAGAACCAGAATAAAATCATGCAAAACCTTGATCAGGAGACATTGTAGTTCCGTTAAGATTCCGGTCTGACACCTCCCACTTACAGGCGTCGACGTTGTCCCTTGCAGAACAACTGGATAACAGCGTCAGTCTTTAATAAGCCTTTCCTACCCAAGGCATTACTCAGAAGTCTACATCCATCAGACTCGTGCATTGCCGAAAAATGCAAGCAATGGAGACGACTTATCTGCTTTCCTTTCTTTTTGTTATCTTCTTTCGCCTATTATTCCGCCTCCTTCATAACTTTCTCATGTTTCTTCTACTCAACTTAACCTTTGTCTTTCCCATCTTATTTAATCACCTTCTTCATCTCATACCCAATCTTTCCTTCTGTTCTCTGCCTCTGCCTCCGTACTCTCTTCTTCTTCTTCTTCTTCTTCAAGGGCCAGGAGACATTCCGGAACGAGACAATGAACGAAGGAAGGACATTCACTTATGTGTTCGATGAGTACGGTCATGAGACAGTGAAGATGTTGCAGTTCCTTCCACGGTGCTTGTTACTGCCGGACCGTAAACAAACAGCCGTTACATAGTGCGTAGTTGTGGAAGAACGATGTCCTATGCTGGATAACGTTCCCTTCGCTAAACACGCTTGGTTCTATCTTAGGCCCACTTCACATAGTCAGACTTTATGATGAGCAGTAAATGAAAACATCGGCTGCCAACCAAGCGCGTTCTTATGATCAAGTTCTATTGTTGCTCATTGAAATCTTCTGAATCCTCTTACTTTGTACATGCTATTACAAGATTTTAAGAAAATTTATTATTCGCAAGCGGGTATTGTAGAGTGGCGAGTTGCCTAAGTTCGGCAGGTAGTGAATATGTTTCAAATATGACACATTCGTCCGTCCATCCATCCTACCATCCACCTATTCATCCAGGCAGGCAGCCAGCATTTATCCACCTGCCTGCCTATCAAAGCAACCAACGTTATGAAGGTGGGCTAGCAGTTGTTCAGCTGTACAGGAAATTCCTAGCATTTTATGAAACCTGAAGGTTCAATGCCGTGCTCACAATGGTCTCTATACCCAGTAGGTGCATCCAGTCTAAAATCCCCATCATACTTTTCAAAATCCATTTTAATATTATTCACCTATTTACGTCGAGGATTTGCTAGTGCCCTCTTCCTACAGGTTTTCTTACTTAAACCCTGTATGCACTATTCTCCCATGCGTGCTACTGTATATGCTTATCCTCTTTGATTTGATCATTAACAAAGAACTAGGGCGTCTTCTACGGGAAGAGAATTGCAGACTCGAATTGCCTGTTATAAAGCTGGTAGCCACTTGATTATGCATCAACATGTCTCTTAACAACAGGCAACGAACGCAGAAGTGTAGATCCTGTTACGGAAAAGACAGAGAAACTAACGTCTTTTGCAAACGTGGTAGCCACTTTGCCATGCAGTAATATACATGTGCAACAGACAAGCACCACGAAACTGCAGCCTCTAGTACAGGAAACAGCGCCTCTGGGACATTTCCCAGGGGATGACAGGCAAACAATGTACTTACTAATTTAGAATTATGCCGTTAAAGAATACTTTTCGGATCAGCTGAGAATTGTATCTCAGTAGAAACATACATGAAGCCACATTTAACAGTAAATCAAGCCAAGGAGGATGATGCGGGCAGGGCATGTAGCACGAATGGGGGAGACAAAGAATGCATATAGGATATTGGTGGGAAAGCCAGAAGGAAAGAGACCACTGGGAAGACCAAGGCGTAGGTGGGTGGACAACATTAAAATAGATCTTAGAGAGATAGAATAAGATGGTATGGATTGGATTGATCTGACTCAGGATAGGGACCAGTGGAGGACTCTTGTGTACACGGTAATGAAATTTCGGGTTCCATAAAAGGCTGGGAATTTCTCAGCTAGCTGCAGAATTGGCGGCTCCTCCAGAAGGGCTCATCTCCATGAGTAAGTAAGTAAGTACATTTAACAGTAAAACTAATTCCTGGTATATTTCTTGCCAGTTTTTTATTTTGCTGCTCTTCCAAAAATACAGCTGAAGGAGCAGATACGTGGGTGGCTCCCCTATCGCCGTCAATATCTACACCCCAACTTCCTCTTACGAACCTGGTATCCACTTGATTATAAACCTGCACGTCTTTTCGTAATATCAATGAACACAGGACTACAGACGTTACTAGAAAGGGGGGGGGATAGAACTTGAGATTTTTACAGTCTAATAGCTTACGTTTTGTCCGGTATTAGCAGAACCTGAAGAAGAAGAAGAAACAGATGAGTTTCAATTGAAAGTATATATAACACACTTACCGCCAATATCCTTAACGAAAATTCTCCTCTCTCTAGGTTTGATATGTAATGGGATCACCACAGAATTGTTCCTTCGACGGCACTAACAACCAGATGTTCGAGGGCTGCGATATCCTACGGTAACGCCTCTGTCGGTAGGAGTAGGAAGCGAAACTGCGTGATGTGGGAGGGGAGATGCTGAATCAATACCGTAATAAACGTCTATAGCGGTCTGTACCGTTGACGACTTAGAAACGTGGGGTGTCATATTCATAATTGATTTCTGTGAATCGCGAGAACCCTATATCTAAGGTGTGGAAGGCTTCTGATTGCTGTTTTGGCTTCTCAGATGAAGCATAAAATTATTTCGTAAAATTATTTTGAATATTTAACGTTATAGATCAGTATGACGACACAACATTTCGGAATATATGATCGAATTGTGATAGTTTAGTTCGTTGAGGCACTATGTTACAAGCTTGGAAGGTTCGATTCCCGATGAAGTCATTCAATTTTTAAATTGACCTAATCCTTCCAGCTGCACTATGGCCCTGGTGTCGAATCAGCCTCTAACAGAAATAAGTACCAGGAATCTTTATGGGGGTAAAAGTCGGCCGGCGCTTAATACTGAGACCCTCACCGCCATCTGTAAGCCGATTTTCTAGAAAATGAAAGAACCTCGACGTCTCACAACCGTAAGGGCCCCCACGACCTGTTACAGAGATAGTTTTACCTTTACCTTATGATCGAATTCTAGATTATTTAACGCTCGGGATTACTGGAGGTTTCGGAAACTGGATTTCTTACTGTCCTGAAGTGACAGGCTGGAAGACACTTGCTCTGTTGAGCCCGTTAGAAAGAGCTATCCCTAATTAACAGAGTTTTTTCATTGCGTGACACATCGCTTAGGTGAGGTTAGGTAACAGCAAAGACAGAAAATTACACTCACAGGAACTTAATAGTTTGTATTACTAAAGTCAATTAATGTAGGAGGTTAAATTGGTCCGGCTCATCATAGAATGCATTAGGAAAGTTGAAAATTTCATGGCAAGAGAACACTTCGGGGACCAAATTACAGAAAGGAGGATCACATTAGTGATTAGCTTGCTATAGGCGCATCTTAAAGATTCTGGTTCAAATCACGTTGTTTTTTGAAGAAGGATGAGCTGGCAGGGAATGTAGCACGCATACGAGAGGAGAGAAATGGATACAGGATTCAGTGGGAAATCCAGAAGGAACTCAGTCTGTACTTTTTTCATTTTCATCAGTAATCTGTCATACGACAGGTCCACAGTCTCTTCCAAAACAGTTCCTCCACTTAATGCGATCTAGAGCTTTCTCCTTCAAATGATAATATCCTCTTCTGTCCTCAAGGTCATCCAGCATCTTCTTACGTCTTTTTCCTCGTCTTCTGGTCTCATACATGGTATCTCTGTTTTTGGAAAGAGACTATCCAGGAAAAGTGATAATGTGGTAGTTTTTCCATTTGCTTTCCACATCGCAGTACAACAGCCGTTCAAACCACTCTGGCCACTCCTGTTGCTATACGAACTCGAACCCTGTAGTGAAAGGAAAGTCGGCGGTTTTTCCCAGAACTTGTTAGGTTCTTTAAATAATGCGTTCAATGTCAGGCCACACACTCTTCTATGATAATATGGTAAAATATGAAAGTATTGAAAGCAAACACTGAATGGAAATTTGTACGGACTCGCTAACATTAGAGACTGTATTACGTAGCGACCAGTATTATGATGGTACACATCACGTTACAATCCAATCGCCATAAACATTCTAATGGCGATAAAAATGAACATAAAATTCTGCTTGAGTGACGTCAATCTGTCACCAGGGAGCATGATGATCTTGCAGACCAAAGGCAATACTCACGTCGCTTGCGTCATGTTGTCATGACAACGCTTCTAACAAACATGGAAGCTTACCAGATGTCACTTCTCTCTTTCCTGTAATTCTGTCTATGCAATTCAACGAGACTCTCCTACTGTTCTTATATAGGCTGATATTTTTTTTTTATTACTAGTGGGGTGGGACTAAGTCCCTTGTACTGCGGCCACTTCTGGCCTATTGTACCAGCCCCAGATGATAGGTGAGGGTGATTGTGGAGCAATTGGTGGAATGAAGATTGACAGGGGAAACCGAAGTACTCGGAGAAAACCTGTCCCAGCGCCACTTTGTCCACCACAGATCCCACTTGACCAGACCCGGGATCGAACCCGGGCCACCGCGATGGGAAGCCAGCGACTAACCGCTTGAGCTATGGCGCGGCCTTAAGGTAGTAGTTACTTAGATAATCAAGAAATTCCTTGCTTTTGATCCAAATTGTTCATTACAGAATTCACAACGTCCATCACTGAACTGCATCCTAACATATATGAATTGAATCATCAATATAAATCCGCAATTATTTAATATCTCTTTTAATATTATCCTCCTGTCTATGTATTAGTCTCTCAGGACGTTTCTCCGAATCAGATTCTCAACTCTACTATGTCTGATATGCCTCGCAGGTCTCCTACACTTATATTACGTGTTGTGTGTTGTGAGACTTCCTCCTTCCCTTCAAGTTGCAGGATCCCTCCTTCTCCGTTGTTCGAGATTGCATGTCCGCCCACTTTCGGGGGCTTCCTGTCCCGCCATGTCTTGTCGACAAGGGTCCCACTTAATATTCATTTTCAAGTATTATAGGATTTCATTTACCCATTGAGCTAAAGAATAAATGAATCAGATTAGAGGTTTTCATGGCGGCAACTATGATGAGTTCTATCCTTTGGGATATGACGTCGTGTAGTCTATGCTAAATATTTACTAAAATTTCGGAACAATGTACAGCCTCAATCGTCAGAACCGAAGAAGTCAAACAAGCAAACAAGGAACAGGTTCCCTGCTCCGTTGATAAACTTCTAACTGATAGCACGGCGTCATATCTCAAAAGACAATAACCTTTGAAACCATAAATAGTTGTGTATTTTCCACCTAGGTGGCTCCAAGATTCAATATGGTGACTTTGTACTTGCCCAACCTGCAGTAGCTCCTCGAGCACTCGATAGAGGGCTGACAACGCTGGTTGAAGGTGTACTGACATGCCTAAAGTTATTGATGGCTTATTATGGCGTATTTGGAAGGACTTCAATGCCCGTTGCTTATATTTAAGGGCTCAGTGACTCATCTAGCTCCTTATCAAAAGGTCTCCGGGTTTCTTTTTCCAGGACTAGAGAGCTCGGAGCGCGAAGCTAACCCCTCACTTCCATCTCTTTCTCGAAGTCAAGAATAGCGAAACGTTACTCATTGTGGTCCGTTAATATAGTAGTTATATTATAGTAGTTAAATATTATAGAATGATTTGGCAACACATTAGCGGTTTAAGACTTTAAGTATTAAGAATTTTAATAATTTTTAACTCAACCACATTTTATCTTAATTAAAATCTTTATATAAAACTTTGATTCAGCTTGATGTACTATGATCAATGTTATAGTAGTTTCCTCAACATGTTATNCACAGGGACAATTTTTCCTTTTTTTTTTTTACCTTACCGTACCTTGCTTCGTAAATTATCTAATATGCATATTGGTGCTAAACAAAATCCAGCCCATTTTTGTGCAGGGAGTCAAGGAGAGCCACACTGCCTTTGTTTTATATTCAGTATAAATACAATTACATAGAAACTGCATGTACAATCCGGCTAAATAGATTTCGTTATCAAATAAGGAGTCTTGATGATCACATTAGGGAGGAGCAGTGAACGGATTATTTACATGCTTCGTAAAAATAATATATACATAAAGATATTAGTTGAAAAATGAAAGCAGCAGACCTGTTGGAAAGTCTAGGCTTAGGTAAGGGAATGATATTAAAATGTATCACAAAAGTCTAATATAATTAGAATGATCAAGTCAAGGAGGATGAGGTGGGCAGGTCATGTAGCGCAAATGGGAGAGAGGAGGAATGCGTATAGGATATTGATGGGAAGCCAGAAGGAAAGAGACCACTGGGAAGACCAAGGCGTAGGCGGGTGGACAATATTAGAATGGATCTTAGAGAGATAGGATGGGATGGTATGGATTGGATAGATCTGGCTCAGGATAGGGACCAGTGGAGGGCTGTTGTGAACACGGTGATCAACCTTTGGGTTCCATAAAATGCTGGGAAATTCTTGAGTAGCTGCAGAATTGGCGCTCCTCAAGAAGGGCTCAGCTCCATGAGTAAGTAAGTAAGTAAGTAAGATCACAAAAGTCTACCGGTATGGAACAATGGTAGGTTCTTGTGAGTATATAATGAGCCTTTAGGAGCCTTTAGGAGGCATTAAGGAAAGGGGAATATCTTGACTAGCGCAGAGACTATTAGTTCCACAAGAAGTGGTTGGTTTTAAGGGGTTTGTGTACCATGTACGTTATTCATTTACAGATAGAATGCATATCGTGTTTGCGTAATAGACTGCGCTACGCGACTGCATGGAAATACTGACGTTCCAATGAAGCCGCGATGTCTGGAAGAATGACAAGAATATGCTGAGACAATTAAACGTACATACATATTTATAGAATTTAAATGTGTGTACAGTTATTCTGTGAAACAGAACAACGTTAAACAAACGATTACGGCTTAATATAGTAAGGAAATATACAATTAAAATTTTCGCTACGTCACTGCGAACATTTTTAACGGTAGTTGATAAGCATGTTCATGAAATAATACACTTGGTTCTATATTCTCCGTGTAGATGGCACTTCACTTCACACATTGCACTTATCAGCCATACATGTACGGCGATTGTGGCGCGTACGGAATATTTCTGATGAGGGACTCAGTGACTCAGTAGGAAAGTTTGATTTCTTCCATGACGGTATATGTATAACATGTTATGAAAGTATTTAATGTTCATATTTCCAGAATAAATGCTGAGTTTGTATTCATATCATACGAGTACACTCTTATGTTTGTAAAGTCCTCAGCTGCGTGAGCCTTCTTAATGACTCCTGAGGCTTAGTGGAGATCCTGCAGAGAAACATCTTGGTACAAATGGACAATTGCAATCTAATCACATGACGCTATGCATATTAGCAACACGTGTCCTCCCTCTGGTTGTCCTGTATTCGGACACAGAGATTGCCAAAAGTGGAAGTATATGGAATAGGTCTCTC